GGGTCCCACCCCTCCAAGCCCCGCCCCCACTTTCTCCACAGACCCCACTCTCGGTGTTACTGATGCACCGCGGCACCGGTCCCGATGAGCGGGAGCGCTGGTCGGAGGCGTAGACGCCGCGCTCCGCCGACCGCCGGCTCAGCTCTTCCCAGCTGGGGCCGTTCCGATTATCCCTCCGCTGCCACGTCTCTTCCGGGTGCGGCGCGTGCTGATGACGCTACACGCCATTTGCCCCGCCCCTACGACGCAAGACGTGATGGCGGGTATGGGGGGGGAGGGAGCGGACCACAGACACCCTCACGCTCTACGTCATTTCCGCTTCCTCTCAGGCCAGGCGGGTAGTTCGAACGTTACTGTTTCGGAAAAGCCTTGAGGTTGGCGCGAGCCTCACCACCCGCGGTGGCGGCGCGGAGAAGGTCGAGACCAAGGCTAGATATGTCCGAGAGGCGAACGCGGTCCGGCGGGGCCGCCCAGGGCTCCGGTGAGCGGAGGGCGCGCGGGAGAGAGGGGCCCAGGCGTTTGAGGGGCGCAGACCCGTGAGGAAGGCCCTCGGGGAAGGCTCCTCCAGCGGGCCTATTTGGGAACCTTCTGCCGCTCTCTTCCAGAACCTGCGCTCCAGACTCTGAGGTAGAGAGTCCTCCCCTATCTCCTAACTTTTTTTTTTCTCCAGGGCCGAGGGCCTCACTTGCTACTCAGTCTCTGCGGAGGTCCCAGCGGAAATCAGGCTCCGATCTTCCCAATACCCTCCCTGAAATCTGGCCGAAGGTGAGCCCGGGGTTCCTCAGTTCCTTCCCTAGAGGCCCCTGGGCTAATATGGAACTCATGGTCATCCCTCCTCTCCAGGCACCTCATGCGACTCCAGCCAGAAAGCCCATCGTCTTGAAGAAGATCGTGGCCCATACTGTAGAGGTGAGGTCTGAGAGAGGGGTTGGTGGGGGGAGCAAATTTGGGGGCCCGCTATGTGATCAGTTACTGTTGTCTCCACAGATCCCATCTGTCTACTCACCTCGAAGGAGCCCTAGGGTGAGTTCATTTTCATCTGCTTTGTTGGGTGGAATCCAGGACATTCTAGAGCTGGGATGGGGCATAGTGTCTGCTCGCATCTGCTCGGGGAGCTGTTTTGCAGTATTTTGAGCTTGCCTTTTGACACCTGCATGCATTGCCAATCTTGCTTACTCCTAGAAACTTATTAGGTTTTGATGCCCTGGTATCCTGTACTATTTTCCTTTAAAAGTTGAACTGTGTCCCAACTGCTCTTTCTTTTTGCTCCATCTTGTTCTCAGTTTTTATATATGGTTGTAAGACAAGTTATATGTACATTTGTTTACAGTCTTAGCAGCAGCCAAGATGTTGTGCCTGAAAATATAATGAATGAGAAATGCTAACTTCTTATTTTATTTTTTTATTTTATTTTATTTTGTTTTATTTATTTTTTATTTTTTTAAAAATTTTATTATTGTTTAAAATATTACAGATGTCCCTTTTTCTCCCCAATGACCCGTTCCACCCCGTTCCTTCCCCCTCCCCCGTCCCTCTCCCCACCATTGTCCATGTCCTTGGGTTGTGTATATATGCACATAAATTCTTTGGTTACTCTCTCCCCCTCCACCCACCCGCCCTCCTCCATCCCTCTGACATTCATCAGTCTCATCTATGCTTCCATGTCATTGAATCTATTCTNCCCCAGTCCCTCTCCCCACCATTGTCCATGTCCTTGGGTTGTGCATATATGCATATAAATTCTTTAGTTACTCTCTCCGCCTCCACCCACACGCCCTCCTTCATCCCTCTGACATTCATCAGTCTCATCTATGCTTCCATGTCATTGAATCTGTTCTGTTCACCAGTTTATTAAGTTCTTCAGATTCCACATATAAGCGAGATCATGTGATATTTGTCTTTCACTGCTTGGCTTATTTCACTTAGCTTAATATTCTCCAGGTCCATCTATACTGTCCCAAAGGGCATGAGATTCTTCTTCTTTACAGCTGCGTAGTATTCCATGGTGTAAATGTCCCACAGCTTTTTTATCCACTCATCTACTGATGGGCACTTGGGCTGTTTCCAGATCTTAGCTATTGTAAACTGTGCTGCTATGAACATTGGGGTACATATATCCTTTCTGATGAATGTTTCAGGATTCTTAGGATACATTCCTAGGAGTGGAATCACTGGGTCGAACGGCAGCTCCATTTTTAATTTTTTGAGGAACCTCTATACTGTTTGCCATAGTGGTTGCACCAGTCTGCATTCCCACCAGCAGTGTACTAGGGTTCCTCTTTCTCCACACCCTCGCCAGCACATGTTGTTTGTTGATTTGTTGATGGCAGCCATTCTGACATGTGTGAAGTGATACCTCATTGTGGTTTTAATTTGCATCTCTCTGATGATTAGCGACGTCGAGCATTTTCTCATGTGTCTCTTGGCCATCCGTATGTCCTCTGGAGAAGTACATATTTAAGTCCTTTGCCCAAGAAATGCTAACTTTTTGGGAGCTCATAGGGTTGACAGTCTAGTGGGGAGAAAGTCAAATGAACAAGTGATAACAATTGTATGCTGGGGACTGCAATATGGAAAGAACTAGCTGCTATGAAGTGCACCTCACCTAGACCAGATGGCTCAGGGGCATTTCACAGAAGAAATGTTTTAACTGAGTCTTAAATCTTTACAGACAAGTAGGAATATACCTGTGAAAGGAAGCTTTATTTATAGAGACCTGGAGTACACACACACACACACACAGACACACACACACACACACACACCATGAGGTTTGGGGAGCATGAGCGTGTTTGGTTGTCCGCAGGAGACCTTGTCAGGGAGGGAGTGTGCTAAACCAGAACAAATCTTGATGAGGCATGAAAGCCAGCCTCAGGAGCTTGTATTTTTTCTTTTTTAAATATGTCTTTTATTTCAGAGAGAGAGGGAGAGGGGGAAAGAGAGAGAGAAACATCAGTGAGAGTCATTGATCGGCTGCCTCCTACACGCCCCCCACTGGGGATTGAGCCCGCAATACAGGCATGTGTCCTGACCAGGAATTGAACCACGATCTCCTGGATCGTAGGTCGATGCTCCACTACTGAGCCATGCCGGCCAGGCTGGAGCTTGGACTTCTTGTCCTTGGCTCTGTGGGCAGCCTTTGGAGAGTCTTAGCAAGATAGTGATTGCCCTGGCCTGTGTTGCCAGTGGTTAGTGTCTGCCTGTGCACCAAAGGATCTCAGGTTCGATTCCTGGTCAAGGACGTGTACTTGGGTTACAGGTTTGATCCTGGGCCCCATTTGGGGCAACCAATTGATGTGTCTCTCTCACATCGATGCCCCTCCCTCCCACTCTCTAAAAACCAATGGGAAATAACTATATCCTTGGTGAGGGTTAAAAAACAAACAAAAAGAAGGTTGTTGGACTGGCCTGGATGACAGGTAATGGGGGGCTTGCATCAGTTAGAGGGGGCTAGATTCCGGTCACATTTTGGAGACAGTTTGCAGCACCAGCAGGTGCTGGCAAGTCTTCTTGCGTCACAGAAACACACTTCCGCAGAAGCAATGGCCAATTGTTCTTTTCTTCCCGTCCCCACATCTGTTTCGGCGTCTGATTTCTTACTTGACCTGTGTCCTCTTTTCCTTTTAAAAGTGTCCTGTGGGTCCCTCTGGAAGTAGGTAATGGAGCTGAGTAACGGAGGCATTCTCTTCTGTCCTGGTACAGATTGCTTTTTTCTTGGAGAAAGAAAACCACCCTCCTACCAAGAAGCCTACTGGGGAGGACATCTTCAAGACATGTAGTGTCCCTGCCACCCCCGCCCCCACTCCTGTGCTGTACAGCCCAAATGTTGAGTCAAACTCCAGGGAAGGAGACCTGGACACCAGAGACTTGGAAATGTCTAAGAAAGTCAGGCGATCCTACAGCCGCCTGGACACCCTTCACTGTGCCTCCACCTCCACCCCAGGCCGCCCATCCTACTTTGGCTTCAAGGGGCTGCCAGGGAAAGAAGACTTGGCCGGAGTCTCGCCTCTGGTGTGTTCAAAGTTAATCGAGGTCCCCAGGGTCCCTGTGGACCCCTGGGTCCCGGACACGACTCTCCCCGGAATCTCCCCACCAGTGAAAGAGAAAAGGAAGAAGAAGAAGGTGCCGGAGATCCTGGTGAGTGAGGGGCAGGGGCCTTCCTCTGCCGTCACACACACACTGGGAGACACTGAACACATGCTGAGCCAGGGCTCAGCTCTGGCTGTTTTGGGGGAAAGATGGAGCTTGTGTGCAGGGTGTGGGTAGACATGCTCCAGCCAACATGCCCTCTTCCCCACTCACCTGCCCCCCATTTCTCTTCCCCCAGAAATCGGAGCTGGATGAGTGGGCCGCGGCCATGAATGCTGAGTTTGAAGCTGCTGAGCAGTTTGATCTCCTGGTTGAATGAGATGAAACTGGGGTGCACCTAGCCAGACTCTCCTCTTCCCCCTGTACATAGCCTCTTTTTCCTGTAGAAAAGACACTTGGGGTCCCCTTCCTTGGCCTTGTTACCTGTGCATGTGCTGTTGCGACACATGAGGTCTGTCTCCTGAGTGTTTGCACAGTGGCAGCACCCATGGCAGCTGTAGGAAATAGGGCTCACATGGCCAGGTGTCCTGGCTCTAGTCAGTGACCCACCCTCGTCCCCTCCCTACCTCCTGTAGTGTTCTGGCCACTTTCCAGTTGGTACACAAACTAGGGAGGGAGAATCACTGGCCCTGCCAGAGGAGGTTACAGGGCTGGGGATTGTGGGTGAGAGCATCTCTGCCGTCTGGGGAATGTGGCTGCTCTGTGCCAGCCCCAACAGAAACAGGCACCACCAGCCAGAGCAGCCTCAGGCTCCCTCTGTTGAGTTGCCTTCTGTTGGTGGCTTGGGTTTTGTCTTAGATTTTGTAGATGGTTCAAGAGAGAATTCGTGGATTGGGACAGTTCTATCTCAGGAAGAAACTGGACACTCGGCCAGTAGAGTCAGGTTTAGAAGGAGAGTGGAAAGCCTCAGTTGGTCTCAGACCATAGGTGTTGTATTTTATAGTTCTGTGTTCTGCTGTTGAGGTATTTGGTTAAACACCAGGCTGATGGAGTGCTGGCTGCATGGGGCAAAGGGTACATCTGAACTAGACACCTGCAGAGGGCTGAGAAGGGGCCTATGGCAGGAGGTGACCCATTTTGTCATGCACACCTGTTTCTTACAAACTAAAGTGCACAGAGTCTGCCCAGTTCTGGAACAAAAAATGTATAGGTTGAACAGTCCTAGTCCCAGCAGCATTTTGCAGCTACACTCGGAAAGTTCTAGGAGGCTTTTCTCACTTTACAGAAGGGGCAGGGGTTGATAGCAGTTTTAACCTATAGCTTCCTTAGTGCCCTCTCACATGAGGGCACTGCCTGAGGCAGGTGCCAGGAGTTGAGCTAGGGGGCAGGGAGGGATCACATTGTCTTCAGGGAACCTCACTCCTCACCCCCCATTTCTCTTTTCTCAATGCTGGTAAAAGGTGTGCTTTCATAGGCTCCCCAACCACAATTTGCACCATCCCCCATGTTGTTGAACCTTTGCACATTTACAGGTTTGTGGAAGTAGAGGGTAAGAGGACAGTGGAGGGTCTTAAGGATAGCAGTGTCAGAAGATGAGTGTTTGGTTAGGTTACCTGAAACTGCGCTGATTAAGCTCTTTATAATGCCTGGGGGCCCCAGATTACCTGTTCAACGCTTTGTGCTTTGTCAGACCCTGCAAGCAAGCCCCCTTGTCAGGGTGGGCCAGATGCCCTTGAGCTGGGCCACACCCGAAGAATTCTTGTCCTCACTGGCTTGGATGGGCAGGACTCCTGGGAATTGTCTTAGTCCTGCAGAATCAGGAGTAGCCAGATGATGTTGAATTGATGTCATTGCTTCAAACCTTTCTGGTCCTGAAAAACTAAGAATGTGGAGTTCAAGGGAAAATTGGGGTTTCTTTTTTTTTTTTTAATAAACCTGGTTGAAGAGTTTCTTTCTGCTTGGAGATTGTGTTTCTTTCATTGGGTCAAAGGCAGAGCTGATGGTGTGAGGCCCTGGAAGCTAGCCATCTTTGGGCTGTGTCACAGGGTTGTCCCCTACCCCCCATGTCTGTTTTCCTGTCCAGCTGCTCACACCCATTCCTCTAAGACAGGGCTACCTGCATAGGAGGTCTCAAGGGGAGCCCCATCCCCTGCTGTTCCAGAAGGAAAGAAGTCAGGTCTGGAGTGAGGCAGCTAAGAGCTTCATCAAGTGTCTGGGAACGAACCCTCCCCCTCATCCCGAGTCCAGCCTTTGTTTCCCTGTCAGGTTACTGTGAAAGAGCCCGCTCCTTACACTGGCCCCGCCAGGATGTTCTACAGCAGTGGGTGCAGAAGCCCCTGGGAGCTAGTCAAAGATGTAGATATGCATGCAACTCCATGCAGGTGGCACAAACCAGTCTTCCGTCAGATCTCTTTACACTTGTCCTTGCCTTCTAGACAGCAAATCAAGGCCTTTAAATTCTTAAGTTTCCACAGCCTCCCCACACCTGCCTACTACCTCCTTCCCTCACCCAGAGCAGCTCCCTGCCTCAGAATTGGCACTACCCTGGAGCTTTGTGAGCCTGAGTTATGGTCCCCTCTGCGGGCACTGCGGACCATGGAGGTTCTACTCACGTCCTGTGGACAGGAATGGTGATATATAGGCCATCTGGAAAGGTTCGATGTAACGTAGAGAGCACATTCGTGGAATCCCCCCACAACCCACAGCCTGTCAGAGCCTGAGTAGAACTCAGTGTGAGGGACACATCTGAGGTCACCATTTGTCCTTTAATTGGATTGTCCCCCATCATTTTGCCAGAAGATGCACAAGATTCTGAAAAATCTGAGAGAAAAATGGTGTCAATTCCATCTATTGACAAGATTTTCTGTGATTTGGGGAGAAGCTGCTATTTCAAGCTTCCTTGGTGGGACCTCTCATATCACCTCAGGGGCATTCTCAGGCTCAGCCCAGCTCTGGCTCCACTGCAGACCT